TTTTTGTAGAGATGGAGTTTTGCCATATTGCCCAGGCTGTTCTCAAACTCCTAAGCTCAATCAACCCACCCACCTCAGCCTCCTAAAGTGCTAGATTTATAGGCCCAAGCCACCATGAACAGCCACAACCTTGATCTTAAATATAGGTTTTGATTCAAACCTCTACCATCCTCAAAAATATATGAGTAAAATGTATGAATAAATTATGAATAATTATAAATAATTATGAATAAAATTTAGCTGAAATCAGAATGACGTGGGTTTTAAAAAATGTTTTCAAGTCGCCAGGCACGGTGGCTCACGCCTGTAATCCCAACACGTTGGGAGGTCAAGGCCAGTGGATCACCTGAGGTCAGGAGTTTGAGACCAGCCTGGCCAACATGGTGAAACACTGTCTCTATTAAAAATATAAAAAATTAGCTGGGCATGGTGGCACATGCCTATAACAATCTGAGCTACTAAGGAGGCTGAGGGAGGAGAATTGCTTGAACCCTGGAGGCGGAGGTTGCAGTGATCACATTACTGCACTCCAGCCTGGGCAATGAAGCGACATTCTGACATCCTGTCTCAAAAAGAGAAAAAAGAAAATAAAATGTTTCAAGTCTCCTATATACTACATCAACGGTCTTCAAACTCTTCTGTTCCTAGACCCAAATAATTTTTTTTAACTACGTAACTCCCTGCACATCTTTAAATTGACATCTATAATTTTTTATCATAAATTTATTCCTTATTTCTTGTTAACAGCAGATAGAAACGGTATTTTATAAGATGAAATATTGTGAGGATTGACGGCAACTGCAGTGTTTCATGGTATGGTTTGATAAAATAAGTTTTAACTACCTTATCCATAGTACACTCTGATCCTCAAAAAAATAAGTAAAATTTTAATCCACGTGTTTTGAAAACACGTGGATTAAACACATGGATTAGGAAAGAGTATCTGTGGAATGTGAAGACCTGGAAATGGATTGCCTAAGAGTTACCCAAGCAAAAAAGAAAAAAAAAAAAGAATTATCCAAGCATATGTACTCCTTAGAGACTCCCTGCGCGCCAAAGTGAAGACTTCCATATTATAGCATGCCAAATAGCTACAGGATAAGTTTTCCTGACTCATAACACAACTGTTCTTCCTATTCTTCTGTTTCAAAGAGAAAACAGAGCATTTTAGTATATTTGAAAGAATACACATCACTAAGCCCCGGTGCTTCAGAGCTTCCAAATCACCATGCTTTCCAACATGGGCTAAAATACAATAGCCCCCATCATGTGTAGGGGATATGTTCTAAGACCCCCAGAGGATGCCTGAAACCACAGATAGTACTAAACCTTATTCAGCCCGTCTTTTCCTATATGTATGTGCATACATACCTATGAGGAAATGTAATATGTAAGTTGGGCACAGCAAAAGATTAACATTAATAACTAATACTAAAATAGAACAAGTATAACAATATATTGTAATAAAAGTTACATGAGTGTGCTCTCAAAAATATCTTTTTTTTTTTTTTTTTTTTGAGAGAGTCTCACTCTCACCCAGGCTGGAGTGCAGTGGCACGATCTCGGCTCACCACAACCTCTGCCTCCTGGGTTCAAGTGATTCTCCTGCCTCAGCCTCCTGAGCAGCTGGGATTACAGGCGCCTGTCACCATACCCAGCTAATTTTTGTATTTTTAGTAGAGACGAGGTTTCACAATGTTGGACAGGTTGGTCTTGAACTCTTGAACTCAGGCGATCCACCCACCTCAGCCTCCCAAAGTGCTAGGATTACAGGGGTGAGCTACCACACCCAGCCCAAAATATCTTATTGCACTGTACTGCAGGTAAATGAAACCATGGAAAATGAAACTACAGGTTAGGGGAACTACTGTACCCGATTTCTATAAGACAAGAACCAACAGAAAGCCAGTTTTCTGATTTGTCCCTTTATTTAGTAACTCTATGCCATGTAAGAATTGAAATAACTGAGAGGTGTGACTTTCTTGCCTAAAGTGGAAGAGGACTTGAGTGGGCTTTTGCTCAAATTCATGTATTTTTAGGAAAGAGTACCTATGGAATGTGAAGACCTGGAGATGGATTGCCTAAGAGTTATCCAACCAAAAAAGAAAAAAAAAAAATTATCCAAGCGTATGTACTCCTTAGAGACTCCCCGTGCGCCGAAGTGAAGACTTCCATACTATACCATGCCAAATAGATACGGGGTAAGTTTTCCTGACTCATAACACAACTGTTCTTCCTATTCTTCTGTTTCAAAGAGGAAAAGAAAAAAAAAAAAAAAAAAAAGTATCTTTCCAAAATATTCACCAAAACTTAACCCATCCTAACTTCAAAGTTGAATAATACACTGAGGATGACCTCACTTATAAAAAGAAAAGGAACTGCTAGAGAGATTAAACTTCCAGAAAAGACTCAGGAAATGATTGAAAAAAGTTTAGAACAGCAAGCAAGCAGATAATGAAATCTTCACACCATCAGAAGCAGCCGTTAACTTGGCATGTGGTGCTCTGCTTTCTGCAACGAGGCATGTCAATTTCAAAGGAGAATAATGATGGTCATTCACAAGAGCATCGTGAAAATGGAACAAGATCCCCTCTGATATGTTTTGGACATCTGTCCTCTCTAAAGCTCATGTTGAAATGTAATCCCCAGTTTTGGAGGTGGGGCCTGGTGGGAGGTGTCTGGATCATGGGAGCAGATCCCTCATGAATGGCTTGGTACCATCCTTGCGGTAATGAGTGAGTTCTCACTCTGAGTTCCCCCGAGACTTGATTGTTTAAAAGAGTCTGGGACCTCCTCCCTCTCTCTCTTGCTCCCTCTCTTGCCCTGTGACAGGCTGGATCCTCTTCCGCCTTCCGCCATGATTCTAAATTTCCAGAAGCCCTCACCAGAAGCAGATGCTGGCACTATGCTTGCTGTACAACCTGCAGAACCCTGGGCCAACACATTCTTTATAGCAATGCAAAAACGGACTGACACACTCTCTCTACACACCCTCCCCCCACTCATCTGTTAATATTGAGAATTGTTACTGTGAGAAGATTCTTACCTTTTCAGAGGTATGTGGAAAGATTTGCATTTTGTGGAAGGAACCAATATATTAAGCAAACTTTTTTTCTTTTTTGAAATGGAGTCTCACTTTGTTACCCAGGCTGGATCGCAATGGCGCGATCTTGGCTCACTGCAACATTCGCCTCCCAGGTTCAAGAAATTCTCATGTCTCAGCTTCCCGAGTAGCTGGGATTACAGGTGCACGCCACCATGCCCAGCTAATTTTTGTATTTTTAGTAGAGACGGGGTTTCACCATGTTGGCCAGGCTAGTTTCAAACTCCTGGCCTCAAGTGATCAACCCGCCTCCGCCTCCCAAAGTGTTGGGATTACAGGCCTGAGCCACTGCGCCCGGCCTATTAAGCAAACTTTTCTTCTTTTAAGGTCTACATGCATTTATATTTAATGAGTAAAATAAAGTGAATGCATGGCAAAAATAGTTTTCTGAGGAATTTGAAATCTTACCGAAATGGAGAATCTTTTTTCCTTTTGTCTTTAAAAACACCCATGCTTGGCTTCTTGGAATGGGAGGCTCCGAAATCATAGTCCTCCAACTCTTCCCAGCTGTCTCCAGACTTGAAGACAGTTTGACCCCAACGCCTCCTACCACTTTTATGACTCAGTGTGCCATTTGGCTTCTGTGGTGGAAAATCAGTCATAATCTTTAATCACGTACTGAATGCCTTTCATGTACAAGCTACTACGTAAGACACTAACAGTCCCCATTCTCAAGGAGCGTTCCATACACTTAAGGGCATAACATATATACACATTTAAAAGCATGAACAAAAATGGGCGGTACATGCCAAAAATATGACAGGTGTTCAGAGGAGAGATCTCTGTGAACTAGGTTGGTGGGAGACTTGAATATTTTGGATCTGAGTTGACTCTTCATTGACACGAAGGATCTGGAAACTCGAGACTTGGCTATGTCTCTTTGGGCAAGGGACTTAACTTCTCAAAGCCTTAGTGTCCTTAACTGGGGACAGCCTTAATGAGAAGGACACTAAGGCTGGCATGTGCCAGCATCTTTTACTCTTCCCCCTCCTTGAATGTAGACACGACATCCAAAGGCACACCAGTCATCCTGTGGCCACAGGCAAGACAGCCACCTGCTCAGGGTGGTGGAGCGGGAAGCCAGCAGCAGCCTGCCTCCTCTGCAAGCTTCATGAGCTCCACCACCCAATTTCTTGTTATGTGAGAAAAACAACCCCTATTGTTTAAGCCACAGGGGTCGAGTTTTTGTCATAAGTCCCTGAATGTAATCCTAACGGAAACAGAGAGGGAAGTGTGAGTCTGACTGCCACAGAATGGAGGCATTGTTAACAGAAATAAGGAACAGGAAAGAAGTCCTGGCTTGGAGCACACAATGAATTGGTTTTATACAAATTTACAGAGAGTGGTTTGGGGGCACATAAACAGAAAAATCCAAAAGGCAACTCAAAACTAGGGAATAGAGCATGGAAAATTGTCAGAAAATACAGCTATGTCGGGTGCAGGGAGATGCTTAAAGAATGGACATGCTATCGCTTGAAGCTGATGGTGTCACAGTGATAGTGATGGATGATAACAAAAAGTAGTATTTGCCAGCTTCTACACTATTATTTTCTCTGCCAGGCAGAACAATCTCCAGAATAAAGAGAATAAAAAAATGTTAAGCTCCAGATGAGTAGGGTTAATAAAAGGTTACCCTGAGCTGAGTCTGAGCTTCCCTTCTGTTGAATTGTATTTTAGGGTGCCAATGCTGAACGCTGCTGAACAATGTCAGTGATATCCAAGAATCCTGTACGTCTGAGAAGACTGGAAAGTGGCAAATATAATACTCTTAATAAAGTAGAAGATTTATTTTTGCAAACTCCACATCAGTAAGTTTGGTAGAGGATGAGGGCAAAGATTCTAAAATCAATTATTAAGTGGGATGTTTGTGAGCACTAAGGAAAAACAGTGATAGCTCATATAGACCACACTTTTTCATGAACGGCAAACAATGAATTCATTCAATGTAGTGTATGTGAACTTTAGCCCATTGGGTGAAGGCAGCAAAGGCGATCAGCACATAGTTCAAGAACTTGACCAAGAGTACTGATGAATGGATCAATGTCACTCTAGGAGAAGGTTGTAGTGGCCTGCCCAAGATCTCACGGTCGTTCTATTCATCATGAAGATTCAGGAGGAAAACAGACAACTAAACAAATACATAGCTGGCAAGAAGCTGGGCAGAATGGGTAAACTGAGAAGAAAAAATAAAGATTCAAAAATAATTGGAAATTGGAGATGTAAAAGGTCTTGCAACTTTTTGAATCCTAGAGATGAAATACACAAGTCAGAGGTACAGAATATGCAATTTAGGAAAAGCATTTATGAAAAAATCGGTATACTTAGAAATTTTAGTTGACACAATACTCAATCCCTGGATTAAGTATTGGAACTTACCTATATAAAAATGTGTGTGTGTGTGGCGGCGGGGGGGTAGGTTATTCTCTTTAACTTAGAGAATACACACAGGGTCCCTAGCATATGCATGGCATTTAGTAGCTACTCAATAAATAGTAACTTCCTTTCCTTCCCTCACAGTATGAGTCAGCAATTGAGGCATCTTCTAAGCGGTTGTGGGGAGGACTGCAATCATTGGTGGCACGAGTGCACACGTGGTTTAGAGTGTTGGAGGTGATTCGTCCTGCTCTATATTCCCTGCCTGCTGTCTGCCTCCAGTTCTGGCAGCCTCATTCTAAGTGGGAAGCAGGATGAGAGGGGACTTAAAGGCATATACATAATAGGAACTGAGAGTTATCAGTCATTGGTGAATGGCGTTATATGCAGAGCCCTTAAGGGAAATGGAGATGTTTCTCTAGAGAAAAGGGCAGATAATATAAGGGCTATTTTCAAATATCTAAAAGGCTGCCTTTCTAGAAAAGTGATTAGCCTTCATTAAAAGCTAGAAAACCAGATTTTACCCAGTATAAGGAAGAACTTTCTAATATTCAGAATTGTTCCAAAGATAAAGGGGACTCCTTGGGACCCCAGAGGTGGTTTGCAAGTCATGTGGGCAATTATTCAGTCCTTCATTCACTGAACAAATATTTACTGAGAATCTACCATGTGGCGGGCACTGGTCAGGGTGCTGAGGCTGTACTGATAATCAGAAAACATTCCTGACCTCACTGAGCTTGCTGCACTCCAGAGGAAGAGACAAATAAACAATAAACCTAAGAAATAAGTAATTAACAGTATGTTAGAATGTGATTAGTGCTACTGGGGGACGAGGAGGCCTTGCTTATACTGGGTTGGCAGGGCAGGTGGAGACTGGATAAGGAAATAGATATGTGCTGTGTAAGACCAATTTCCATCCTAAAATGCCATAATGCAAACACATTTGGGAGTGTATACCCCAATGGGACAGCTAAAACACTACAGCAACTGAAGAGCTCCTGGAGTCGAACAAAAGATGGAAGAAAAAGTTTTATACTATGCCTGACACTTCAAAAACCCATTCTGGCTGGGCACGGTGGCTCACGCCTGTAATCCGAGCACTTTGGGAGGCCAAGGAGGGCGGATCACCTGAGGTCGGGAGTTCGAGACCAGCCTGACCAACATGGAGAAACCCTGTCTCTACCAAAAATACAAAATTAGCCAGGTGTGGTGGCACATGCCTGTAATCCCAGCTACTCGGGAGGCTGAGGCAGGAGAATAGCTTGAACCTGGGAGGCAGAGGTTGCTGTGAGCCAAGATCATGCCATTGCACTCCAGCCTGGGCAACAAGAGTGAAACTCCATCTCAAAATAATAATAATTATAATAATAAATAAAAACCCATTCTCTCCATGTTCCTTAGCATTTAAGAACACTGTAAAATGATAGCACTGTTGAAAATTCTTAAGATTTAGGATCAGTACTCTGGAGTACCCGATTCTTTTAAATTATTTCTTTGAATTCTTCTGCATTGAAAGAACTTAGGCTGGGCTTGGTGGCTCCCGCCTGTAATTCCAACACTTTGGGAGGCTGAGACGGATGAATCACCTGAGGTCAGGAGTTCAAGACCAGCCTGGCCAACATGGTCTCCACTAAAAATACAAAAATTAGCCGGGTGTGGTGGTGGGCACCTGTAATCCCAGCTACTCAGGAGGCTGAGGCAAGAGAATTGCTTGAACCCAGGAGGTAGAGACTGCAGTGACCCGAGATCGCACCACTGCACTCCAGCCTGGGCAAATAGAGTGAAACTCTGTCTCAAAAAAAAAAAAGAGAAAAAAAAGAAAAGGCCAGGCGCGGTGGTTCACGCCTGTAATCCCAGAACTTTGGGAGGCCAAGGCGGGTGGATTACTTGCAGTCAGGAATTCAAGACTAGCCTGGGCAACATGGTGAAACCCCATCTCTACTAAAAATATAAAAAATTAGCCGGGTGTGGTGGTGCGTGCCTGTAATCCCAGCTACTCGGGAGGCTGAGGCAGGAGAATCCTTTGAATCCAGGAGGCAGAGATTGCAGTGAGCTGAGGTCGTGCCACTGTACTCCAGCCTCAGCAACAAGAGCAAACCTCCGTCTCAAAAAAAAAAGAAAGACCGAAGACTGTAGCATGTACACTTGGTTACTTTTGTTCTGAAAGTTTTTCTTTTTATAAACCATATTAGAATTTTAAGTGATCTTACATCAAGCTCCAATCAGGGGACTCAGGGTCTTTAACAAAGAATAATCTTTTAGATCTTTTCCAACATGATTAGAAATGCCTCGAAACAAAATCTTAATTGCACGAGTCAAACTATTTCATTGCAAGCGTCATGACTGGCTACTCACGGTTGGCACGGTTTTGATGATGCTCGGGAAGAGTGTTTGTGGCGGTTTCTGCTGACTCTGTTGCTTTGGAGGTTGCTGGACGCTCAGGTTCTGTGGTGGCTGAATGGGCTGCAGTGGCTGCTGGCTAGTTTTTGGCTGGGGTTGTCCAACAGTCTGATCAATTATATCCGGCAGAGGCTTAGGCTCTACTTCAACTAAAGACGGCTTTGATTCTAACGGTTGCAGTTGCTTATTTAAAGACTGTTTTGATTCCAGATGATTTGAGGAAGGACCTAATACCTGACCAACTTGAAAATATGGGTGTTTCAATGCCTATAAAAACACAGAAAAAACAACAAATGGAAAACGGTTCCACCTAAATGTATTGCACATAAACTGTGATTGGCCCTGTGCGAGGCATATATCATTAGCCCACATGAGCTTCAAAGATTTAGAAAGAAGCCATCATTCCCTATACAGTGTCCCTTTTAAAAATAACCAGAAAAAAATGATTTAAGAAATAAATTGCATTAAAAAATTAAAAGTGGCCGGGCATGGTGGCTCATGCCTGTAATCCTAACACTTTGGGAGGACGAGGCGGGCGGATCACTTGTGGTCAGGAGTTCAAGACCAGCCTGGCCAACATGGTGAAACCCAGTCTCTACTAAAAATACAAAAATTAGCCAGGCATGTTGGTGGGTGCCTGTAACCCCAGTTATATGGGAGGCTGAGGCACGGGAATCACTTGAACCTGGGAGGAGGAGGTTGTAGTGAGCCAAGATGGTGCCACTGCACTCCTACCTGGGCAACATTTCTTATAATGACAGGGGTAGGGGGACGCTACTGGTGTCTAATGTCTAGAGGGCCAGAGACAATGCTAAATACCCTATTATGCACAGAATAGCACCCCACAGCCAAGAGTTATCTGGTTCAAAATGTCAATAAGGCTAAAACTGAAAAAATATTCTACAGAATATCTAAAGCCTGTGTAGCTCAGCTATGGAAAAATTCCCTTATTGGCATCAAATACCTGGGCAAAGTAGCTGTTCTTTTTTTGGGGTGGGTGGGTTCCTTAAGATGGTCAAGCTCTGTTCCCCTGAACCTCCTGCCTTTAGCCAGTCCCCACACACGTGGGAACACAGCCCTGACCAACAGTTAACTCCTCCCATGTGTAAGGTCAGTTTTTAGAGGAACAGAAGGCAGCTTGGTACTTTAAATGGTCTTCATATTCTACAACTTAACCAACCTCTCCCCCTAAATTAGGTCTTTCCACTTCCACTACAAAGCAGGGCTGTGAAACAGAGCACCAGAAAGAGTTCATTAAGGGTTACTTGCATTCTCAGTGGAATACACAAATATGCATAATTTAAATACTTCAATGCCTAGCACACTGAAGGTACTCAAATTCTGAATTAAGTAACATTAATTAATTAGTATGTCAATATTCCTAAATTAGTTATGCATATTTTGGAGCTGGAAACTTTGAGGATGTGTTTTGTAATTTCAAGGCTTTATTTATAACAACTCTTCCTTTTTTTTTGAGATGGAATCTCGCTCTATCGCCCAGGCGGGAGTGCAGTGGCACCATCTCGGCTCACTACATCCGCCTCCCGGGTTCAAGCAATTCTCCTGCCTCAGCCTCCTGAGTAGCTGGGATTACAGGCACCCGCCACCACGCCCAGCTAATTTTTGTATTTTTAGTAGAGACGGGGTTTCATCATGTTGGTTAGGCCAGTCTCGAACACCTGACCTCGTGATCTGCCCACATCAGCCTCCCAAATTGCTAGGATTACAGGTGTGAGCCACCATGCCCGGCCAACTCTTCCCTTTTAAGACACTTTAAGATACCAGTTACTATCCTTCAAGAAGAGGGAAACTAAAAATTAATAGCATTTATTTTTTCCTATTTACTTAAGGGAAGCAGTGATCACTGTAGAGAATGAGAAATGTGTCGAGTTCTCAAGATGAAAATAAAAATTTAACACCCAGAGACAACCAAGACTAACATTTTTTTATACTTCTCAGTATTTTTTCTCATATAAAATGTATTTTTCAAAGACAAAATCACATTATTTGTATAATAGTATTTTAGCATGAGATTTGTCCCAAATTGTTTAAAAATTTTATTACACAAATTCACTGTTAACGCTGGCAGTGTATTCCAAATTAAAGATGCACATAACTTAAGTTTAGAAACTTTATTTATTTATTTATTTATTTGAGACAGAGTCTCGCTCTGTCGCCCAGGCTGGAGGGCAGTGGCATGATCTTGGCTCATTGCAATCTCCGCCTCTTGGGTTCAAGCTATTCTCCTGCCTCAGCCTCCCGAGTAGCTGAGATTACAGGTGCACACCACCATGCCTTGCTAATTTTTTATATTTTCAGTAGAGACAGGGTTCTGCCATGTTGACCAGACTCCTGGTCTCAAACTCTTGACCTCAAGTGATCCGACGGCCTCGGAAAGTGCTGGGATTACAGGCATTGGCACTGCAGCGCCACCGCATTCAGCTGGAAACATTTTGATTAGCTTTCAATGGACAGTTTTCTATTGGAATTGAACATCTTTGAGCATAATTTCTAATTGTCTTTAAGGCTCTTTTTATTCTCTTACTAAGAGATAAATGAAAAATGGTATCTCATTTCTACTTGCATTTTATGAGAGTAAACAAAGACTGAACATTTAAAAAGCATTTTTGGTAATCTGTATTTCTTTTCCTGTGTATCTTTTTCATGTCCCATGACTACTTTTCTTTTTAAAATACATTTGAAAAACTCATTGTGTCTTTATTACGAAAGTAATACATATTTAGAAAAATTAGAAAATATGGGCCAGGTGTGGTGGCTCACGCCTATATTATTCTAGCACTTTGGGAGGCCAAGGCAGGACAATTGCATGAGGCCAGGAGTTTGAGACCAGTCAGGACAACTTAGTAAGACCCCATCTTTAAAGAAATGAAACTTTAAAACAATTTTAAAAAAGAAAAATTAGAAAATACACTTAAATGGCTGGGCATGGTGGTTCATGCCTGTAATGCCAGCATTTTGGGAGGCTAAGGCAGGCAAATCACCTGAGGTCAGGAGATCAAGAGCAGCCTGGTCAACATGGTAAAACTCCATCTCTGGCTGGGCGCAGTGGCTCACACCTGTAATCCTAGCACTTTGGGAGGCTGGGGTGGGTGGATCACCTGAGGTCGGGAGTTCGAGATCAGTGTGACTAACAAGGTGAAACCCCGTCTCTACTAAAAATACAAAAATTAGCCGGGCGTGGTGGTAGGCACCTATAGTCCCACCTACTTGGGAGGCTGAGACAGGAGAACAGATTGAACCTGGGAGGCAGAGTTTGCAGTGAGCCAAGATCGCGTTATTGCACTCCAGCCTGGGCGACAAGCGAGACTGTATCAAAAAAAAAGAAAATACACATAAACATTTCAGTATTTTTCTTATGTTTCTGTAGAGTATTATATTAAGAATTTACAATAATTTTCTCTCTTATCTTTCCATTTTAAGATTTTTACATAGAGAAAAATTTTAATTTGTATGTAATCAAATCATCTGAGTTTTCCTTTTGTGGTTTCTTCTATTATTTTAATACCCATGTTTTTTTCACCTTGAGATCAAATACACGTGTATGTTTTCCTTTTGTTTCTATCAATTTAGGGGTGCTTTTTTCTTACACTTTGAAAATGTAATCCTGGTTGGGCGTAGTGGCTCACGCCTGTAATCCCAGCACTTTGGGAGGCCAAGGAGGGTGGATCACCTGAGGTAAGGAGTTTGAAACTAGCCTCACCAAGATGGAGAAACACCATCTCTACTGAAAATACAAAATTAGCCGGGTGTGGTGGCACAAGCCTGTAATCCTAGCTACTTGGGAGGCTGAGGCAGGAGAATTGCTTGAACCCTGGAGGCAGAGGTTGCGGTGAGCCAAGATCACGCCACTGCACTCCAGCCTTGGCAACAAGAGTGAAACTCCATCTCAACAACAACAACAAAACGTAATCCTTCTGTGATTTGTAAAGTATGGTGAGCAGTAAGAACCTCAATTTATCTTTCTCCCTAAGAGCTAATGAATTTTCCCAGCATCACCCACCCACTGAGCCGTCCTCCCCTCTTTGTGATGCCACGTTTTTTTACCTCATGCTGACTCATACGTTCTGCAACATTGAGCTATTTGTCAGTTCTTATGCCAGTACTTCCACTGTTACCATCATCAATTTAAAGATTACTTTAATATCTGATGGGGCAAGCTGTCCATCCCTATCCACCTGTCCTATCTTTTTTTTTTCTTTTTTTTGAGACGGAGTCCTCACTTCTGCCACCGCCAGCGCTGAGTGCAGTGCGTGCATCTTGGCCACTGCAGCCTCCGCCTCCCGCGTTTCATCTCGCAATCATCTCCTGCCTCAGATCTCCAGTCACGCCTGGACTACAGGCGCGCCTGCCACCACACCTGCGGCTACATTTTTTTTTTCTCTTTTTTTTTTTTTACGTACCAGACGGGGCTTCACCCTTGTAGCCCCAGGATGTTCTCAATCTCCTGACCCGTGCATCCTGCCTGCCTCGGCTTTCCAAAGTGCTGGATTACAGCCGTTGAGCCATCGCGCCCGGCCCACCCTCTCTAATCCTACTTATTCTCTGCTTGTTTAACGTGTCTTGACATCCCTTTCCCATTTTGTTCTTCCAGATACATTTAAGAACACATTTTCCAAGAATTTCAACTTTTAAAAAAGCAAATCACAAACTTCGTTGTAATTGTCACGACGCATGCCGGCCACTTACTTCACTTCTCCTCACGAACTCCACCACGCAATCACCAATAAGATCTATTCTCTCTAACCCACCTTCCTTACCTCCCAGCCATTGCACAAAAGCACTGGGGTTCTTACGCTGGAGACTTGCCAATACCTTGGCTACTCGTCCGGCAGTCCCAGGACCCAACCGCCGCGCGTGCCAACAAGGGCGCTGCCCTCCTTTCGGCCCGCAGCCCTGCACACTCCAGTCCCACGCACAAGCGCTGAATACCTCTCTTGGCGCTCTCACCGTCGAACAGCAATCCACCCCCCTAAAACTGTAAACCACCACGCATACGGCAGGTCTACTATATGGAATTCGACATCCCCGACGACTCTCCTTCTTGCCTTCGACCGCCTTCTTCTTTCTCGGCTCCCATCGTCTCGCGCATTCCGTTATCACTGCCGATTGCGCTTCCTCGTTGCAACCTCAGGCGTTTTCCTCCTTGACACCAACAAAACACACCGCCATCATTGGTTCGGCTATCTTTGCACTTTTCCCAATGCTCTTCCCTGCCCCTAGAAATTAATCTCTATTACATACGCTGATGCTAGGTGCTTTGTGTAAATTGCTCATTACGTAAATCCCTGGTTGAGAAATCAGACCTGCTAACTGTAAATGAAAACATTCTGATATTCAAAAAACTAAACATTTTAAAAGGTCTAACAGGAACCACTCCTCTACCTGGCTTGCGCTGTTGGTCGTTTCTTGGGTCTCCAACTTCAACCATTCGGTCACTGAGTCTTGGACGGCTCTGGCCATTACGCTTCAATACCGGCATTGGGATCGCAGAGTTTTTAAGTTTATAGGAACCACACTGGGGAAAAACGCGAACGTCATAAGAGGACTGCCAGCCTGGTATCCTTACTGGCCAGCTCACTCTGTTCCAGGAATATACTATGCAGGCGGGTGGGCGACGGGCACCAAACAAACTTGTCTTTTTAGTACAATCCATTAAGAAACACACAGCAGTAACTATCCAACACTCCTTTACGTTTGCCACATTTTCTCATGTTGATCCAATATAAAAAATGAGAACATAAAATACCAGACCCCACCTCTACAGTTCCGGCTACGACAGTGTAAGCAACACGAACATTAAAGCTGAGAGTCTAGGAACAATGCGTAAAAGCACTGTTATATACCTTCTTTTTTTTTTTTTTTTGAGACAAGATCTGGCTCTGTTGTCCAGGCTGGAGTGCAGTGGCGCAAATCATGGCTCACTACAGCCTCACCCTCCCGGGCTCAAGAGATCCTCCCACCTCAGCCTCCTGAGTAGCTGAGACTACAGGTGCGTACCATCACACCTGGCTTTTTTTGGTTTTTTTTTTGTGGAGATGGGGTTTCACTATGTTGCCCAGGCTGGTCTTGAACTCACAGGCTCAAGTGATCCTCTGGCCTGGGCTTCCCAAAGTGCTAGGATTATAGGCACAAGCCACTGTGCCCAACCTCTATAAATTTCACAATATTAAGCTCTTGCCTGGTTTTAGATCCTGATGGTGATGTTGCTGTGATGATATCTGGGTTAACTCTGAACAAATAAGGAAAAGTGCTTTACAAAGAGGCTGACTGCTAACAAAGATCCTTGTTGTATATATTACCCATCACGTCCAATGTTAAAAATGCACATATGTGGGAAATGACAATTACATTAAAGCTTTCATATCTACATTTACTTGTGTAATGTTAACTATAAGGCACCTACTAATTTAATTAGGATGTCATTATAATACACACTTATAAAGCACCTTTCAGAAAGAAAGGTATAGATGAAATATAATTATAGTTAATTGAAAAGTACTCAGTTCAAGAAGTCAAATATCCACAGGAGAGACATAGAAAAGGAAACAAGAAAGGGTAAAGAAAATATAAGGTTCAAGACACCAGGGGTTAACAGGTGATGCCAATGGCCAGCCACAGAGTGACCAGGAAAGAGCCCAAGCAAGACTGTCTGTACAGTGTCAGCTGGGCATCACCCCCAAGTTACACTCTAAACACACAGAATTTTTCCTGAAGTTCTTAAGGAAAGGCAAACACCTGTTTTTCTTCAGCTGGTGGGATTCTGGCTTCTTGCAATCCTTAACCCACTCTGATTAAAAAAAATAAGGATTATGGCCGGGCACGGTGGCTCACGCCAAGTAACCTCCCAGCACTTTGGGAGGCTGGGGTGGGCAGATCGCAGATTGCTTGAGCTCAGGAGTTCAAGACCAGCCTGGCCAACATGGTGAAATCCCCTCTCTACTAAAAATAGAAAAATTGACCAGGCGTGGTGGTGCACACCTGTAATCCCAGCTACTTGGGAGGCTGAGGCATGAGAATTGCTTGAACCTGGGAGGTGGAGGTTGCAGTGAGCTGAGATTGTGCCACTGCACTCCAACCTGGGCAACAGAGTGAGACTCCATCTCAAGAAGAAAAAAAAGTATTATAAGAAAATTAATCATTAAAGTATAAGCCTATTTCAAAACGAAAATATCAGCTATCTAGGCAAAAGTTGTAAATAATCAAAAATTATAAAATTAAAAGCAAAGTGGCAAGATAGAAATACTCAAAAGTTATAACAACTTAGGAACAAGAGTACTTACTTTTTTGGGAGTCCCTAAAACTTGGCAAATTTTAAAGATTTCATCGACCTCACTTGTCCCTGGGAAAAGCGGTCTTAACATATAGAGTTCAGCCATGATACTTCCAACAGCCCACACATCAATGGGAGAACTATAAACTGAAGATCTCAGTAAAACTTCAGGGGCACGATACCTGTGAGAATAGAAAACGAAAGAGGTGATTTTGATTGCAATTTCAAAGGTGAATGGGCAGTAGCATTCTACGCCCTTTGGTCATGCATTTCCATCAAGGAACAGATATTCAGACCCCGTCCCATCTGTGTGTCAGGCACCTGTACAATGTTCTGGGGACAATAGGACATAACACATGTTCCCTGACCACAATGAGTGGGGCTGGAGACAAATAAATGTCTATGAAATGTCCATGAAGGCTCAGACAGGAACTCAACTGAATAGATATGGAAATAAGTGCCATCTGATATATCAAGAAAAAAAGTAGAAAAACCATGTTATGAAGCATTATATTCAGCATCTATTCACAAGGAAGCACAGAAAACAAAAGATGAACAAGGATTATCCCTGAGTAGTGGAGTTTTTCCTTCTTTTTATCAGTTTGAAAGTACTGATATCCTCAACCGACTCCTCTTCTGTAGTCAACTCTATCTACTGAGTGGAGTTTTGCTCTTTTTGCCCAGGCTGGAGTGCAGTGGCGGGATCTTGGTTCACTGCAACCTCCGTCTCCCAGGTTCAAGTGATTCTCCTGCCTCAGCCTCCCGAGTAGCTGGGATTACAGGGGCGCACCACCACGCCCGGCTAATTTTTGTATTTTTAGTACAGATGGGGTGTCCCCATGTTGGCCAGGCTGGTCTCGAACTCCTGACCTCAGGTGATCAGCCGGCCTCAGCCTCCCAAAGTGCTGAGATTACAGGCGTGAGCCACCACACCCAGCCTAACAATATTAATTGAGAAAAATGCTCAATTTACAAGAGCAAAGTGAGCTGGTGAGTCCGACACAAAGTCTGCTAAATGGAAGATCCTCTCAACTCGCTTTTTTTCCAACCAAAATGTGTAACTATTTCAGTCCAAATGTTTGGCATAATGTTTCTGCGTTCATTGAGAATACGGCAAGCCCTCAAATAAACTAGTTTTGTTCAATGTTGTTTTGCTCAATGTTGTTTCATTGTAATGTTGATGAGAAAGAAAAAAAGAAGGCATTTTTGGCTGAGCCACTGTGTGGGGTCTGCACGTTCTCCCCAAGTCTACGTGGGTTTTCTCCGGGACTCTGACTTCCTCCCATATCCCAAACGTGTGCATGTCAGGTGAACTGGGGTGTCCGTGTGGCCCCAGGAGGAGTCAGTGGGTGCATGTGTGTGTCGGGGCGGGGGGACAGGGAGTGCTGCCATGGGAGGCTGTCGCATCCATGGTTGGTGCTCACCTTGCGCCTCCAGCTTCCAGGACACGCTGTAGCCACCTGTGACCCTGAACTAGAATAACTGAGCAAATAATTACCTTCCTTGTTTTTACTAATCTTTCCTAAATGTATGTAGGGCTCACATGTATTTCAGTGTTCAATACTAGTGTTTTGGTCGCTGTTTAGAAGTTTTGTGGCCAGGCACAGTGGCTCACGCCCGTACTCCCAACACTTTGGGAGATCAAGGTGGGCGAATCACGAGGTCAGGAGTTAGAGACCAGCCTGGCCAACATGGTGAAACCCCGTCTCTACTAAAAATACAAAAAATTAGCCGGGTGTAGTGATGGGCGTCTGTAATCCCAGCTACTCGGGAGGCTGAGGCAGGAGAATCACTTGAATCCAGGAGGCAGAGGTTGCAGTGAGCCAAGATCGTGCCACTGCACTACAGCCTGGGTGACAGAAAAAAAAAAAAAAAAACTTTCGTGATGTTTTGGTGACCAGAAATGTGCCATGAAATTGTTTATTTTAATTAGCCTATGGTCGGATTGGTTTCATCATACATTGTTTCACTTAAAGTCAGTTTCCAAGAACCTATTGATGATGTTAAGTGACAACTTACTATACTTTCTTTGACGAATATTTTTACAAGCTTTATTGATATAGAATTCACATAATATACAGTTGATCCATTTACAGTGTACATCACACTGCTTTCTCCCAAGGTGCCTTCACGTGTCTTCCCTCTTCCATCTCTGTGTCTGCCTTCTTCTTATAAGGACATCAGTCTTATTGGATTAAGACCAGCCATGCTGTGGTCTGACCTCATCTTAGCCTGATTACATTTGCAAAGACCCTATTTCAAAATAAGGTCACATTTGCAGGTTACATAACCAGGGCAGATCCCTCATGAAAGGCTTGGTGCTGTTCTCTTGTAGTGAATGAGTTCTTTTTCAGACAAGATGAAATTAGTTCCTGAGACAGTGGGTTGCTCCACAGCAAGCTTCCTCCTCTTGTTTGTTCCCTTCTCGCACATGCCCATTTCCCCTTTGATCTTCCCCCTGCCACCTTTTTTTTTTTTTTTAATTTGAGATGGAGTTTTGCTCTTGTTACCCAGACTGGAGTGCAATGGCGCGATGTCAGCTCACTGCAACCTCCACCTCTTGGGTTCAAGTGATTCTCCTGCCTCAGCCTCCTGAGTAACTGGGATTACAAGCATGCGCCACCACGCCCGGCTAATTTTTGTATTTTTAGTAGAGACGGGGTTTCACCATGTTGGCCAGGCTGGTCTTGAACTCCTGACCTCAGGTGATCCACCCGCCATGGCCTCCCAAAATGCTGGGATTACAGGTATGAGCCACCGCACCCAGCCTGACCTTCTCCACCATGTTTCGATGCAGCATAAAAACCCTCACCAGAAGCCAAGCGGATGCCAGTGCCAGGCTTCTTTTATAGCCTGCAGAACCAGGAGCCAAATAAACCTCCTTTCTTTATCAACTTCCCAGCCTCAGGCGTTCCTTTACAGCAACACAAAACACACTAAGACACGGACTCCTTTCTTTCAGCTCCCACATCTGATTCATTAGAAAACATACCCAAAATTCCACACTTTCTCACTACCTGCATGTCCAGCAGGTCCAAGTCACTATCATTTCTGGCCACTCTACAAACTCTGCCCTTGTTTCCTATGACTGCCCTCATTCATTCATTCTGTGCTGTGCGGAATTCACGTGGGGCATGCACCTGTCTCAAAGCTTTTCTATTTAGCATTTGCTCTGCCTAAAAAAATTCTGGCTGAGCCACTGTGTGGGGTCTGCACGTTCTCCCCAAGTCTACATGGGTTTCTCCTTCAGGGCTACTCTCAGTGAGGCCCTCCAGATAAAACAGCAACATTCCTGTCCCTCCCCATCTCCCCCAACTCCCTGCCCCTTTCATATTTTATTTTTCTTTATTATAATGTATCAACATCATCAGATGTTTCAAATATATTTCTTTCTTTCTTTTTTTTTTTTTTGAGAAAGAGTCTTGCTCTGTTGCCTAAGCTGCAGTTCAGTGGTGCAATCTTGGCTCACTGCAACCTCTGCTTCCCAGGTTCAAGTGATTTTCATGTCTCAGCCTCCCAAGTAGGTGGCACGAAGGCATGTGACACCACACCCAGCTAATGTTATATTTTTAGTAGAAACAGGGTTTAGCCATGTTGGCCAGGCTGGTCTTGAACTCCTGGCCTCAAGTGATCCCCCATCTCGACCTCCCAAAGTGCTAGGATTACAGGCGTGAACTACTATGCCCGGCCTGATACACGTATGTTCTTGTTTTCACTGGAGTATAATATACACACAGGCAGAGGCATGTATTCTGAGAGCAGAGCTTGATGAATTTTCACAAATACAACACATCCACGGACCCAGCACCCAGATCAAGAAAGATATGTTATCGGCCAGGCACAGTGGCTCACGCCTGTAATCCCAGCACTATGGGAGGCTGAGGTGGGTGGATCACCTGAGGTCAAGAATTCGAGACCAGCCTGGATAACATGGTGAAACTCCATCTCTACTAAAACACAAAAATTAGCCAGGCGTGGTGGCGGGCACCTGTAATCCCAGCTACTTGGGAGGCTGAGATAGGAGAATCACTTGAAACTGGGAGGCAGAGGTTGCAGTGAGCCAAGATCACGCCATTGCACTCCAGCCAGGGCGAGAGAATGAGACTGTCTCAAAATAAAAGAGAGACATGTTACCAGCACCCAGAAGGCCCCTTGTGCACTTGTCCAGGCACCACACACACACACCCCCCATGGAACCGCTTGCTATCCTGATGTTTATGGCACAGATTATTTTTCTCTGTTTTTGTACTTTACATAAACGAAATCGTATGGTACGTGCCCTTTTTCTGTTTGGACTCTTGCTTTCAACATTGTCTTAGATCTACCCATATTGCTGCATGCAGTCATAGACCATTCACTCTCACTCTTGCAAAGCATTCCTCTGGGTGATATACGATGCTACTGTTCATGAACATTTGGGTGGCGTGCAGTTGAGAGGATTCACGTCTTTTGGTGAACATGGTATGTCTTTCTGTCGGTGACCCATAATATTTTTAACTTGTTTATCTGTGTATTGGCTGTCATATAAGCAGCATAAGGCAGAGGTTTTTCTTTTATTTTTTTATTTTACTGCTGTGTTCTCTGTGCCTAAAATGATGTTTGGCACATAGTAGGTGTTCAATAAATATTTGTTGAATGAATGATTGAGTGAATAAATGAAATGCTTTTTCCTTATTTTTTCAGTGATCAGAAGAGCAATAAACCAATCCTTCGCTTTCTTTAAAGACTATAAAATTCATTTCTATGTTTTAAATATTCAATACGGAACTTCCAGAAATATGTAACAATCCATCGTAGGAAAATTTCACCATAGGCTTATGCCTCAGGAGGGTTGCATAATCCTACTCACCATCTGGTAGAGACATAATCAGTGTACGGTGGCTGGGACCTTAATTCTCTCGCAAGTCCAAAATCAGCAATTTTCACAAGCTCTGGGCCCATACAAAGCAAGTTTTCTGGTTTCATGTCCCTATGAAAAAAACCTTGGTGATATATAGAGAAAAAAATAAAATCAATCATTAGGTTTAAACATAGCTTTATCTGACTTATAAACAACATATAAATGAACCCCCTCTTTTGTAATAAGAAGCATCATCTTAGGAAAAAAGTAAACCATATTTATTGTCTAACAAGTAACGGGATGTAGGGACCTTGCTTTTAAAATGCTTTGGCAAGAAAGTTCACACAGTATATGAAAGAATTAAAAATAACTACCCATTTAACATTTATTTTTATTTGTGACTCCGGGGGTGTTCAGGCGCTGGGCTAGGTATTATTACACTACGATTATCTCCATTCATTTGCACACCAACCTTAAGGAGGTACTGTTATCACTACTGTGCAACAGAGGAGGAGGTTGAGGGCCAGAGTGAAGTCACCTAAAACGTGTGAGAAGTTTTTGTTTTTGTTTTTGAGGCAGGTCTCGCTCTGTTGTCCAGGCTGGAGTGTAGTGGCTCGATTTCAGCTCACTGCAGCCTCAACTTCTTGGGCTCAAGCAATCCTCTCACCTCAGCCCACTAAGTAGCTGGGAGCACAGGTGCATGCCACCACTCCCAGCTAAGTTTTTGTATTTTTGATAGAGACAGGATTTTGCAACATCACCCAGGCTGAGAAGAGCACTTTTTAATCAGGCTTAAGTTGGTGCAGCTGACTCCTTGAGAAAACTCACTTGTTTAAAAAGTCCATTCAATAAAAATGTAACTCCACACATCAGAACTAATTTCTTCATTTAAAATTGTTTTATCTAATGTTCAGTTTTACTCAATAGCTGTGTTATTGCAAAATCCCAATAATTATAATGTTTATATTAGCAATTCAATCTATAAAATAAATGGTTATAAAGCTAATGGGGAAACCAAAGAAAATGAGGCAGAAAGGCCAGCGGGGGCCGGGTGTGGTGGCACACGCCTGTAATTCCAGCACTTTGGGAGGCTGAAGTGGGCAGATCATGAGGTCAGGAGTTTGAGACCAGCCTGGCCAATATTACGAAACCCCATCTATACTAAAAATACCAAAATTAGCCGGGTATGGTGGCAGATGCCTGTAGTCCCAGCTACTCGGGAGGCTGAGGCAGAAGAATCACTTGAACCTGGGAGGTGGAGGTTGCAGTGAGCTGAGATCGTGCCACCACACTCCAGCCTGGGCAACAGAGCAAGACTCCATCAAAAACGAACAAACAAACAAACAAATAAAAAGAAAACCCAGGGGGAAAAGAACAAACATTAAAGCCCTCCTGGCAGATGAGTATTTGTCTTAAGGAAGGCTTTTTCTAAGGGCAGTCTAAAGTATTCTGGTTATATCCAAATGGCTTGGGTTCCAATGACCTTGGGAGGCAGGGAGACTGCAGGTGATCACTTGAAGAGGGTTTTCATGTAGCTTTGGGGCTGAGAAGACTTTCTTTTATCTTTTTCTTTTCTTTTCTTTTCTTTATTTTTGGTTTTTTTTTGTTTTGAGATGGAGTCTTGCTCTGTCACCCAGGTTGGAGTGAAGTGGTGTCATCTGGGCTCACTGCAACCTCCCACTCCCAGGTTCAAGCGATTCTCCTGCCTCAGCCTCCAGAATAGCTGGGATTACAGGCGTCTGCCACCACACCTGGCTAATTTTTTGTATTTTTAGTACAGACTGGATTTCACCATGTTGGCCAGGCTGGTCTCAAACTCCTGACCTCGTGATCCACCTGCTTCGCCCTCCCAAAGTGCTGGGATTACAGGCGTGAGCCACCGTGCCCAGCTGGGGTTGGGAAGACTTTTTAAGCCTAAATGTTTTTAATCACTTCAAAGTCAGAGTGGGCTCTGTTTGTGACATCTGTTTAACAGTTTTGTAATCCAAGTTTATCCGGTACTTCTTACTCTAAATAGTTGGTAACATCCATTTCACTGTGTCCAAGAGACATTCATTGTACTTTTGTAACAAATGTAACAACAGGAATGGGACCATGTGAGGCAGAGCAGAGGGACACTAATTCATAAGGTCTCAGAGAACTAAACCAATTACATATTTGTGCATCTAAGGCTTTCCCCATCCTAATATACATATATTGGTAATTCAATCCTATTTGAACTAAATATTAGTTTTTTTTAAAGCAACTATTTTATTTTATTTATTTATTTGAGACAGAGTCTTGCTCTGTCACCCAGGTTGGACGGCAGTGGCACAATCTCAACTCACTAACCTCCGCCTCCCGGGTTCAAGCGATTCTTCTGCCTCAGCCTCCCACGTAGCTGGGATTACAGGCACGTGCCATGACACTCAGCTAATTTTTGTATTTTTAGTAGAGACAGGTTTTTGCCATGTTGGCCAGGCTGGTCTCGAACTCCTCACCTCAAGTGATCTGCATCTGCCTGCCTTGGCCTCCCAAAGTGCTAGGATTACAGACGTGAGCCACCGTGCCCAGCCAGAAATTCCATTTTATATAGAATCACAGAAATTATAAAGTTTTAAAATTAAAATGTCAGTGTGTATAGGCACATACCCCAAATTCATAGTTATCCAATAGAAAGTTATTTAACAGTTTTATAAGTAATTTCTATGCACAATCTCGACAGTAATCTAAAGAGGTAGGGAAATGAAACTTAAAAGAAACCTACCATGTTTATGGATAAAAGCCAGCCCTTGCAATATTTGATACATAATATTTCTGATGACTGACTCAGGGAACAACTTGTTTCTGTAAAGAAATGAACAGTCACATAATTCTGTTAAGCAACCAGCCAACCAATCCAAAGAAGGATTACATTCCCCCTGCCTTGGAGCCTCTACTGGCCTCACGATACTGGTTAAAGGTGTGATTCACAGATTTATAGTGTTAAAGCTCATACATTTAAAACATGAAAATTAGATTTTTTTTTTTGTTTTGATGTGAACTAAAAACTCAAATCCAAAACTGAATATATTGTACATATATAAAATATATATGTGTATATGTATATGGTTTTTGAGACAGAGTTTTGCTCTCTGTTACCTAGGCTGGCATGCAATGGCACAATCTAGGCTTACTGCAACCTCTGCCTCCCGGGTTCAAGCAATTCTCCTCCCTCAGCCTCCTGAGTAGCTGGGATTATAGCCATGCACCACCATGCCTGGTTTTGTATTTTTAGTAGAGATGGGGTTTCGCCATGTTGGTTAGGCTGGTCTTGAACTCCTGACCTTAGGTGATCTGCCTACCTCAGCCTCCCAAAGTGCTGGGATTACAGGCATGAGCCACCGTGCCTGGCCTAACTAGCTGAATTTTAAACTGTTCCAAGAAGAGCAAAGTAAGTTGAAAAACTGAATTACTAACAGATAAGCCAACCATCGAATCTGTATTATGTAGGCCTAAGAATTTTAGAGGTGGCTGGGTGCGATGGCTCATGCCTATAATCCCAAGTACTTTGGGAGGCCAAGGTGGGAGGATTGCTTAAGTCCAAGAGTTCAAGACCAGCCTGGGTAACATGGTGAAACCTTGTCTCTACAAAAAATACAAAAATTAGCCAGGTGTGGTGGCGCAGGCCTATAGTCCAGCTGCTGGAGAGGCTGAGGTGGGAGGATCACTTGAGCCTGGGAGTTCGAGGCTGCAGTGAGCTGTGATTGTGCCACTCCACTCCAGCATGGTGACAGAGTGAGATCTTGTCTCAAAAAAATAAAAATAAAAAGGAAAAAATAAATACAGTCAGAGATATAAATAAATGCTTCAGTTATATTCTGCATATTGGTGTTGTCCAATAGAAATGTGAGAGCTGGCTGGGCACAGTGGTTCATGCCTGTAATCCTAGCACTTTGGGAGGCCTAGGGGGGTGGATCACCTGAGGTCAGGAGTTCAAGAGCAGCCTGGCCAACATGGTGAAACCCCATCTCTACTAAAAACATAAAAATTAGCTGGGCGTGACGGCATATGTCTGTAATCCCAGCTACTCAGGAAGCTAAGAAGAAGAATCGCTTGAATCCAGTGGGCGGAGATTGCAGTGAGCTGAGATCACACCACTTCATTCCAGCCTGGGCGAAAGAGTCAGACTCCATCCCCCGTGGAAAAAAGAAAGAAATATATATAAGAGCTACTTGTGTACTTAACATCATTTTTCTAGCAGCCGTGTTAAAAGAAATCAAACAGGTAAAATTAATTTTTAACAATATATTTAACCTAATATGTGCCAAATATTATTTCAACATGTAATCAATATAAAAATGAGCTGACTGCACCACTGTACTCCAGCTTGGGTGACAGAGCAAGACCATGCCTCTAAAAAAAATTTTTTTAAAATTATTTATTTATTTTAAAAATTTACCTTTTTTTGTTTTTTGAAAAAGACACATGGGCTGGGTGCGGTGGCTCCCGCCTGTAATCCCAGCACTCTGGGAGGCCAAGGCAGGTGGATCCCTTGAGTTTAAGAGTTCGAGACCAGCCTGGGCAACATGGTGAGACCCTGTCTCTACTAAAAATATAAAAATCAGCCAGGCGTGGTGGCGCGTGCCTGTAGTCCCAGCTACTTGGGGCCTCAATGAGGCAGGGGAATTGCTGGAGCCGGAGAGGTCGAGGATACAGTGAGCCATGTTTGCACCACTGCACTCCGGCCCTCCAGCCAGGGTAAAAGAGTGAGACTCTGTCTCTGAAGAGAAGAGAGACACATGGTCTCATTATGTTGCCTAGGCTGGTCTCAAACTCCTGGGGCTCAAGCAATCCTCCCGCCTTGGCCTCTCAAAGTGCTGGGATTACAAGTGTGAGTCACCAACCCTGGAGTAAAAAAAATACAAAAATTATTAAGACATTTTCTATTTTGTACCAAATTTTCAAAATCTGATGTGTAATTTATTTTATATTTACAACACTCCTCAATGCAAACATTTCAGGAGCTAGCCACATCTGACTAGTGGCTACTGTATTAGTGTAGCTCTATACTCTCTCTCTATATGTATACATATATAATGCATATATATACACACACATATATAATGCATATATATAATTTTTTATACGTATATCATATATATATATAAAATACATATTGCAATCTTGGCTCACTGCAACCTCTGCCTCCTGGCCAATATGGTGAAACTCTGTCTCTACTAAAAATACAAAAATTAGCTGGCTTCCCGGGTTCAAGCAACTCTCCTGTCTCACCTTCCTGAGTGGCTGGGATTATGGATGGCCTCAACCTCCTGGGCTCAAGCAATCTTCTCACCTCTGCCTCCAAGTAGCTAGGACTACAAGTGTGTGCCACCATGCCTGGCTAATTTTTTAATTTTTTTGTAGAGATGGAGTCTCACTCTGTTGCCCAGGCTGGTCTCAAATTCCTGGGCTCAAGTGATCCTCCCACCTCAGTCTCCCAAAGTACTGGATTAAAGACCGGAACTACTGCATCCAGCCAGATTTATATATATTTTGAAAATAGACAAAAATTTAATATTTCATGCATCTATGTATTCCATTTTTTTCTTCAACAAGTGTATCTTGATATTTCATGTATGTATATATCATTTCAATATTTTACAGGATAAAATTTATTAGAGGCTGAAAATTAAGATTACTCATAATTCCACGTGATTAAGAAACTTTTAATTTTTCAGTATTCTAATCCAGTCCTAATTTATTTGCATGCATAACTTTTGTATTAGGAATGAATGTCACATACACGCAATTTCGTTTGTTTTTTCCACTTGGAAGCATTTTCACAATCCTTATAATTATCACCTTTAATGGTAATAATTCCATCAATATTACATACAATAATTACCAACCTATTTTTGCACTGATATTTATTTTAAATAGTTCAAAAAGTGAAGCTTAGTACAGACATTTAACAGAATATATTATTTATAGTAACTATAAAGACTACATATCCACATAAAAAATACTTGTAAGTAAATGAATCAAATAAAAAATGTTGTCCCACTGAAATTACAAGTAAGTACAAAGGCATGCATGTCTATATACAAGGCCTAGAAGGGACTTTAGAAAAGTAAAAACTGATTTGAGGGGCAGAAATTTACTTGTATTTTAATTGATATTAATGTTATAATGATTTTGGCCTGGAACATAAGAGGCATTCAATAAATATGTTTTGAGAACGGGAAAAATATGATTAAAGAAGAATTCACGTAACATCCTCAGACCTTCAGTGAGTGAGTGTATGTGTGTGTGTGTGTGAAAGAAACAGAGAGAAATCAACATCATTACTTTGGAAAATTATTTCTAAGTATTTCAGGGTTTTTTGCTGAACATTTCTCACTTTAAAAGCAGGCAAAATGGATGTTAATCTCCCAGATGTGACCAGAACAACCATCAAAACATTATCTCCCCGAGCCCAGGGTGGAAGACTGAAGCTCTCCCTGTATAGACTCTGCCCACACATATTTAAAAATTGTGAATTTCCTTGGAACTGGTAACACACCAAGTCTTATCATTGACTTGTGCATTCTACTGAATGAATTTTTTAGATCCTTTCTTGAAAGCAACTTCATTCCTTTCTCTATTCTTTCATCAACCTTCACAAGATGCTTGGGAGAGCAACCAAGATAATTTTCTCAACAGTGCCCAAGGCCAGCTTTATTACTGAGTACTAAACTATACATAAATTTGTATTTTAAAAAGCATAAATAGATAGTATGTGTATTTATATAAGATACTGGCCTTCACTTTCAAGGATTTACAACAGAAAGATGCTGGCTATGTCACAGCTGGTTCTTCTTCAGTGTTAAATGCTACCCTTTGATAAAGGTAACAGAACTAGTTAATTTAAATTTACCTTTTGGAGTGATCAATTTTTATCTCGTAAAGTATGACATATTGAAAGGATCAAAAGAACTCATGGAGGGAATAACAGGGAAAAATGTGAATAAAAACATACCTGTCTTTCATTAATTGATAGAGGTTTTCTTTCATATATTCAAATATAAAATAAAGATGGTCATTTTCTCTGATAACTTCTTTCAATTTAATAACATTGGCATGATTAAGTTTCTTCAGAGACTGAAAAATAACAAATACACATTAAAATTTCTCTAAAAAACTTATAAAAGTTGGCAAAATCGTATCAATGCTAAGTATGATAATTATGTAATTTTCCATTTCTCCTGGGTTCATTAATTAATTACATTTTAATATCTCCATAATTGCTTTAAGTAATGAACGTTAAGTGCAAACGATAAATCACGCCAGCAATAGCTATTAAACATCTCAATCTATTACATTTTTCCCTTGGTTTATAAATACGTCTAACTTTTGTCTGACTTAACCATGCAAAGGTATCCAAAATTATATCCAAGTCTTTAAGCATAAAATCTAAGGAAATGGTATGTAGTAATTCAAAAAGATGTCTTTGGTGGCTGAGCGCGGTGGCTCATGCCTGCTATCTCAGCACTTTGGGAGGCTGAGGTGGGCGGATCACCTGAGGTCAGGAGTTCGAGACCAACCTGGCCAACATGGTAAGACCTTGTCTCTACTAAAAATACAAAAATCAGCTCGGCATGGTGACACACACCTGTAGCCCCAGCTACTCGGGAAGCTGAGGCAGGAGAATCGCTTGAACCCAGGAGGCGGAGGTTGCAGTGAGCCGAGATCATGCCACCGCATTCCAGCCTGGGTGACAGAGTAAGACTCTCCTCAAAAAAAGAAAAGAAAAGAAAAGTTGTCTTTGCATAATATGATTTTATGATGCTCTCTTAAAAGTGAAAGTGAACTTTCAAATGTGAGGATATAATTATATGCTATTCTCCACTGACATCAGAACCAAAAGAAATGAGAAATTAATTTAGGAATATAAAGGAAAAACAAACACAATTGTCTTCAGAATGCTTCCCACAGAGAATAAAATAATCTTAACTACTATCCTCAGGTAGCATTAAGGCCTTCCAGGTTCTTTTCATCTTTAGGATTTTACCTTAACTTCTCTCAAGTTCATGCACTCATCCCAAGAATAGAACTTTCTCTTCATCCTAAAATAAATTAGGGAAAGTTTAGTGTTCAGGGATTGAGAATTCAAAGACACACATTACATACACTGCTGGCTTTCTTACTCCAGTATTGGTTCACTTTGGACGAGCTCACTCTCCCTTTCCTCATCCTTACAAGGAAATCACCTCCTATATCTCAAGGCTACTTGTTAGGCCTATGTCACATCCAAACATCAGCTTTAACGCAAAAGTGAAAAAATTACCATTAATCTTCCTTTCTAGGTGAGTTCTTTTTTTTTTTTTTTTTTTTTGAGACGGAGTCTGGCTCTGTCGCCCAGGCTGGGGTGCAGTGGCCAGATCTCAGCTCACTGCAAGCTCCGCCTCCCGGGTTCAAGCCATTCTCCTGGCTCAGCCTCCCGAGTAGCTGGAACTACAGGCACCGTCACCACACCCGGCTAGGTTTTTTGTATTTTTTAGTAGAGACGGGGTTTCACCATGTTAGCCAGGATGGTCTCGATCTCCTGACCTCGTGATCCGCCCGTCTCGGCCTCCCAAAGTGCTGGGATTACAGTGAGTTCTTAACATTTCTCTAATCAGTTTAATTGTGCCTTTCTTAAACAGTCCCTTTCAAGTTCCTCTCTTTTTAGAACTTAAGAGATAAATATAAAACACTATACTTCAGAGGGAGTTAGGGAAAGAAATCACAAATTTTGAGCAAATGTAGTCAAATAATTTGATCTGATAACTCTCATATCATTACATCAGCTTTAGACAAGAGGCCCATAGTTAAATGTCTCCTTACTTAAATTATTTTAGTTGGCAAAAATTCAGAAGTAACTATAAACGTTAGAAATGGCTTTCTTGGCCGGGAGCGGTGGCTCATGCCTGTAATCCCAGCACTTTGGGAGGGTGAGGCGGGCGGATCACAAGGTCAGGAGTTCAAGACCATCCTGGCTAACATGGTGAAACCGCATCTCTACTAAAAATACAAAAATTAGCTGGCTTCCAATTAGCTGGGCGTGGTGGCAGGCGCCTGTAGTCCCAGCTACTAGGGAGGCTGAGGCAGGAGAATCTCTTGAACCCAGGAGGCAGAGGTTGTAGTAAGCTGAGATTGCGCCACCGCATTCCAGCCTGGGCAACAGATGAGACTCTGTCTCAAAAAAAAAAAAAAAAAAGAAGAAATGGCTTTTTGAATTTTGTTCCTTTTTTTTTTTGAGACAGAGTCTCGCTCTGTCACCCAGGCTGGAGTGCAGTGGCCGGATCTCAGCTTACTGCAAGCTCCGCCTCCCGGGTTTACACCATTCTCCTGCCTCAGCCTCCAGAGTAGCTGGGACTACAGGCGCCCGCCACCACGCCCGGCTAGTTTTCTGTATTTTTTAGTAGAGACGGGGTTTCACCGGGTTAGCCAGGATGGTCTCGATCTCCTGACCTCGTGATCCGCCCGTCTCGGCCTTCCAAAGAGGAATTTTGTTCTTTACTTCCCCTCTTTCATCCCAATGTTGGTTTCTACTAGAGATAAATATACCAGAAGTGTATTTAGGGTAAAAAGTATTTCCACTATATACACCATAGTTCGTTGTTGTGTTTTTACATGAACATGTGTTTTTATATGAACAGATTTTTAGTCACCATACAAAACAGGGGATAAAAAACAGGATTCATATTCTAAAAAATGTTTCTTCAGGTATGGGAATTATAAGGCTGGGCTGTGAAAAAGAAAAACCAAATATGCCATGCTGCTTTCATTTAGTAATATAATCTCCTACCGAGATGTTCCAGAAGATCCTTGGGAAGCTTAGCATTGTCTTTATTAATTACTATAATCCTTATGATCCAGAGGCTCTATAGGGGTATAATACACAGGTGAGGAAATGAGTAAAAATTGGCAGCACAACATCATGGCCAAGAACAGAGGCTTTGGAACCGCACTGCTTGGATTCAAATCCTGGCCCAGTCACTCACCGTAGGACTTTGGACAAGTTACCTAATGACCAGTCTATGCCTCAAATTCCTTAGTTAGCCATACAGTAGAAACTACTGCATAAGAAGAGCTTCTTGCAAACTGCTTACTTCAGCACTCAATAACTACTAGATGTTTTCATTTTTACCAATATCTGTGATTGACTGTAAGATGACATAAAGGACATCACTAAGATGACATAAAGGGCATCACTGTTATTATTTCCAAAATATCCTTAGTGAATGAGAATTTCATTTGCAGTTACTCAGGTACTAGACATTTATGAAGAAGTGTGATGAAATGGGAGTTTACTAGCTTATTAAAAGATACCTTTCAGTGCTACAGATTTATAAAATGTCCTGCTGAAGCATAATGTGCCCGCGCCCGGCCAGATTTGATTTTTTTTGTTTTGTTTTTAGACAGGGTCTTGCTCTGTCACCCAGGCTGGAGTGCAGTGGTGCAATCTCGGCTCACTGCAAGCTCTGCCTCCCGAGTTCACGCCATTCTCCTGCCTCAGTCTACCAAGTAGCTGGGACTACAGGCGCCAGCCACCACGTCTGGCGAATTTTTTGTATTTTCAGCAGAGACGGGGTTTCACCCTGTTACCCAGGATGGTCTCCATCTCCTGACCTCGTGATCCGCCCACCTCTGTCTCCCAAAGTGCTGGGATTACAGGTGTGAGCCACTGCGCCCGGCCTCAGATTTTTTTTTTTTTTTTAGAGACAAAGTCTCCCTGTGTTGCCCAGGCTGGAGTGCAGTGGCTATTCACAGGCTCGATCATAGCGCGCTACAGCCTCTAACTTCTGAGTTCAAGCAGCCCGCCTGCCTCAGCCTCCGGAGTAGCTGGGACTACAGGCGCACACCAGCATGCCCAGTGAGAGTGCAGATTTTACAGGTAGCATGAAAGTTTCAGTTATCACTGAACTGTGAAAAGTAACTTGAACATATTTTTATTTGGCTTCTAAAAGATTGGATACTTTTAAAATTCTGGGCCTGGCGTGGTGGCCCATGCCTGTAATCTCAGCACTTTGGGAGGCCAAGGTGGGCGGATCACCTGAGGTCAGGAATTTGAGACCAGCCTGGCCAACATGGAGAAACCCTATCTCTACTAAAAATACAAAAATTAGCTGGGCGTGGTGGTGCATGCTTATAATCCCAGCTACTTGGGAGACTGAGGCAGGAGAATCGCTTGGACCTGGGAGGCAGAGGTTGCAGTGAGCTGAGATCGTGCCATTGCACTCCAACCTGGGCAACAAGAGTGAAACTCCGTCTCAAAAAAAAAAAAATCTGTATTCTCTTCATCCATCCAGATGTACTCTCTTCATCTATCTTTCTTTCCAGCAAATACCACTCCTCAGCAGTACTTCCCTAAGGCAATGCATGTGTCTATCTACAACAGAAGTTTCCTTGCAAAATGACTATCCCAAAGGTAAACCAATTGCTTAGAATAGCTAAGAAAAGGCATTTCCTTTTAGGTTCCTTGCCATCTTTTGTTATGTATTAATTCGTCAATATCTACTCCATGCCAGGGCAATGAACAAATCAGAGATAGTACCATGGTGTTCCCATCTGACACAGGAAATCAACTTCAGAAATGGAACTACCTCTCAAGTTCTTAAAGGGCAGAGGGCTTAATAGATATTTATTAACTTAATGAAGTGAGGGAATCTTTCTACCATCCTCTAACATATAGTATATAACTTTAAAAAAATGGCAGCAGAAAAGACAAGATATCAGTGATCTAAATTAAAACTCCCCAAAGGAAACATTCACAAAAGAACCTCTTATTTTGTTCAGTGTAGCGTTCTCCCAACTTCTAACCATTCCCCTCCAACACATCCTAGCCAGTTCTGACTGCATTTCTAGACCATTCAAAAGATTTGCCTGCTGAATTAAGCACAGACTTTCTTCTCCATGTTCACAGTAGCAGATTACACCACCCTATCCGTCATCTACCAACTGTCACGCCATGCCCTTGCTTCTTCAGGCCAAATCCGGAAAAGCAGAGGGCTAGCATTCAGCTTCTTCTCTGCTTCTCAACGTCATTCTGAACTGGTTTAATTCCTACTTGTTAAATTCCATATGGAACGTGTTAAATGCCGTATCTAGTAACACACGGAACTTGTTAAATTCCATAGCTGAACTTGTCTAATTTCAACAGAAATCCCCAACTCCCAGCCCCCAACTCTGGCTCTTTTGTTTAAAAGGTTTTTAGAATGAAAACACCTTCTTCCAGGTAATCAATTTCCCTTCAAGGGGACATGTTTACCGCCCACTCTGAAAATAAAGGCTAGGCAGCTCTTCTTCAGCTACTCCACCAAATGTATTCAATGTAGAATTTACTTATTATTTATTTATTTTGAGACGGAGTCTCACTCTGTTGCCCGGGCTTGAGTGCAGTGGCATGATCTCGGCTCACTGCAACCTCCACCTCCTGGGTTCAAGTGATTCTCCTGCCTCAGCCTCCTGAGTAGCTGGGATTACAGGCACACGTCACCACACCCGGCTAATTTTTGTATTTTTAGTAGAGATGGGGTTTCACCATGTTGGTCAGGCTGGTCTCGAACTCCTGCCTCCCACAGTGTTTGGATTACAGGCGTCAGCCACCACACCTGGCCTGGAATTTATTTTTAATTTTAGGGGAAAAGTATCAATGGATCTTAAAGTGTTACCCACCAAGATACACCTAGAATATTTAAGCCTAAATTGGAAATGCCTAAAATTTTCTATCTCCAAGCAAAAGATTGATTGGTTATTATGGGATATGAATTGTTTTGGTAACAAAGAAAAAAAAATGAGAAGGGAGAATGAGGACTCTAATATCTGTAATTTTCAGGTAAAGTTTATCCCTGTATATCAGGCTTTAAAGGGATGGCAAAGCCTGCTTGTATGACTCTTGTAGATAACATAACTATCTCATTCAGACTTGAGGAGTAACGGCTATAGAGAATAGTCAGTGTAGGTTAAACTGTTAACCTTGCCAGTAGCCGCCTTCACAGTTGCTTAACTCCTAAGATGTTCACCTCTGTCCTACCACAGTTACTCATAAACGCCTTGTTATGAGGAACAGTCCTACTGTCCC